GGCGGCCCATTTGGGTCTTTAGGGTCCTGGGAACAAAGGAACAAGGAACAACATGAGAATGCGAAAAGAAATTTAGAAGGGGAGAAATAAGATTGGCCCCAAATGCACATGAGCAAGTAGCAAAAAAATGTGCAACATAATATAAACAATATCACAAACCAAATACAAAATACACAATGCACAATATAACACAAACATAATATCCAAATCACAATATCACAAATCAAATACAAAATTTACAATATAACATATCAAATAGCACAATATCACAATATAATAATAATATCACAAGATCACAATATTATAAATACAAAATCATAATATCAAATATCAATAAATTTTCATAAAATATCAATAGAATATCCCAATATCACCATCATAATTCAAAATTCATAAATCATAATATCACAATATCACAATATCATAATATCATAATATAACGCAGCCCTTTCTCACACTTGTACTCGATAGACCAAATGTTCCAAACCTTTACAGTGGTTTCTTCGAGAGTACAGGGAATGAACCGTGATTGACTGTGTAGGGTAAGGTTGTCCCTAGACGCTGATCTTGGCTCAGTTTCTGATTTCCCCACTAATTGTGAGAGTTAGGATAGGGGGGGGGGGAAACTGATTTAGATCTGTACCCCAGGGGAAACTTAACCCCAGACAAGAACTGACAGTGCATTACCATTTCATCCACCTTGTCACACTGGGGATCCTCCGTAGCGTAGTCCCTGATGACCTGTCTGTAGATGAGGTCTGTGCTGACAGGTTTCTTTGCAGTCTGCCACGGTTGTTAAAATTCCTTCCTGTAGTAGAGTCCCCCAGGGGGGCTTTCTCCTGCCCCACCTTTCCGTTTCACTTCCTGTTCGCACTGGGAGATGGCGTCCATTCACGTGCTCCCCGCCCGCTGCCCCCGGCGACCACACCTGGAAAGGGGGGGGGAACCAAGAGGACCAACCTTCAATTGACTTTGCAACTAACAACACACACACGAACACTAAGAACCCTGTCCATCGGTCCACCAGGGCAGTTTTGCTCAATTCCCAATCGGGGCCCCAGTCCTTCATCCCTAGACACTCCTGTGGATCTGAAGAGGTCAGCAACATGGCCAAAAGGTAATTCAGCCTATCGAAGGGAAAGGTGAAGCCAGTTGCCATATATCGATTAAAACCTCGGATGTACAGGAGGGCCTAGGGGGTCGATGTTGGAAATCAGGGGTGTCTCAAAGACCTTTCGGAAGTAGAGGTCAAGTCAACAGTACAGGTGGGGGATCTATTCTCCTATAATAGTACTGCTTTACCTTTCATAGAGAGCCGAGTAGAGAGAGAAGCCGAGGTGTCTTGAGGGAGGGGACCTTCTCAGAGAGTAACTGGCATATGACTCCTTGGGAGTTGGTGAGGCGTGAAAACGGTCTACAGGCCCGCTGATGGTGCGTCCGTCCACACGTCACAGACAACACCGCGGGGTAATGGGCTTCTTAACTTGGGGGGTGGACGTGCCTGTTCCAGTCACCAGGCAACACAGGTTCCGTCGGGTCAAGGTTTGGATGGAAGAGCAATAACTCAGAAGAACTACAAAATCAACAACAGGACAGACTAACAAATAACTACTAAGAACGTTTAAAACAAACTTGGGATCGTTCATGTTTAGAAAAAATCCCTAACCAAAACCCTTTTTGTTTAGGTATTTTTTTCTTTGTTCCTGCTCCACAAAAATTAAAATCACAGAGAAGTTTTACACCAAACTACCACTAACCTGATCATCCTCATAAATAAATTAAACAAATACCTACAACTCACAAGCTGTAAATTAGTAGGATGAGATATCATCTTTCTAATGATTTTGCCCACACCGATATAAAGCTCCTCAGGTCATCGTCGTAAACAGTTGGAAAAGAGAGTGAGACATGGGAGAGAGAACAGCAGCCACCAGTCATAGGTATGGGCAATACAATTGACAGTTAAATCATAAGGTTGTGAAATCTACCTTGGTGCGAGGTGGAAATTGATCTACAGTGGCAGGACAGGGGGCAATACGTAACCATCTGAAAAGGGCGGCACGTGAACCCAACAGTTGGGCTGCGATAGAGGGACGGATGTGAAAATGCACTGCCGCGTGCTGATTTCCAGAAAGCAAGTTGCAGTTGATCTGCACCACTGTCAATGTAGAGGGATGTGCGGCTTCAAAAGCCCTGATGGCATGTCCTATAACCCAGACTACAAGATGTCCAAAAAAAGGTGACGTCCTGATGAAGAAATTGTCCAGAAGCGGCGTGAGCTCGGGCGCACGACCATACCTGGTGTAGGAACCAACAGTTTTTGGTGGTCACATCACTGCAACAGTCCTCACGTTGATGAGAAGTTGGATATTAAGTGGCGGCCATGTACTGACCACTGAGAACATTGGAGTGTAGAGCACAGCTTCCGGAAACCTAAAACAGCTTGAACTACGGATTTTGCCGATGGTTTGGGTGACACATACGTGTGACGCCGTCTGTATGTAGTCCATGACTGCGGTGATATTTGAACTGCAAATCACCGCCCCTAGCGGTCCATACGGCAAGGACCACATCTAATTGTGAACTCGTTTCACACAAGGTTGATGATAAAAAAAAAAACAAGGCCTGTTTAAACTTCAACATTTTTTATTTTTTTTACATTTTCACATCCCTACTTTTCCTCTCACCTCTAGTTTTCAAGCCAGCTCGGAGCTCTCCACGGACTCCATTGGCTACGGTGCGCCTCAGTCTTCTTGGCGAGTAGGGGGATAGCCGGGCGCGTGCCGGCCGAATCGGATAAGCTCTTGAGGAACTTGAGGAAAGGGAGTAGAGATTGAGTTGATCAGTCACATAAGGGATTGTAAAAGCTCAAGACTATGTAATGCAATGGGCCCGATGGTGCGCAAGAGGTTTTGTGATAGCATGCGCAACTCAACTAGGGAGGTTTGCGTAAATCATTTCAGACACCGGGTTTCCATCCAACTGTTTTAAGTGAGTAAAATTATATGGCCTGGTGGCAACAACACCTTTGTCTGTAAACTTAAAACCAAATGAAATCACAAAACAACAAACGCAGACAATTATATAATATCTTTAGTTATATGTCTCTACAATTAATTATCAGAATTGGCGTGAAACGGCTTTATGCGGCAAATATTGATCTACAAACCAATCACAACTCGAATAACCGTGGAGTCACGTGATGACATGTTGTGTGGCCCCTCCGCACTAGACTCAGAAACATCAGTTTATTAGGCCTACCTATTAAATACGTTATGATTAACTTCACAGGGTGGCGAAAGTGCAAAACGGTGTGAGCTTGTGCCTATTTTCAATAAATGATCGAGGGTCTTATGCTGGTGACATGAATTGAATCGATGCTTGCTGCGTGTTTACAAATAAAAATCATCTCTCTCTTTTGTCTCATAATAAATCTCAATCATTTAGCTAGCTACCCGCACTGTATATTTGTGACTGCTGGCTAGACTGGTATATCTGTGAGCTGTAAGCAGACTGTATATCTGGGGAGCTGTTAATCTAGACTGTATATCTGTGAGCTTTAAGCTAGACTGTATATCGTGACTGTTAAGCTAGACTGTAATAATCTGTGAGCTGTTAAGCTAGACTTTATATCTGTGAGCTTGCTGCTAACGGTATATCTTGAGCTGTTTAAGCTAGACTGTATATCTGTAAACTGTTAAGCTAGACTTTATATCTTGAGCTGTTAAGCAGACTGTATAGCTGTGAGGCGTTAACTCGACTGTAGTATCTGTGAGCGTTAAGCTAGACTGTAATATTCTGTTACTGCGGGCTAGACTGTAATATCTGTGAGCTGTTTAATCTAAGACTGTAGCTTCTGTAAACTGTTAATCTAGACTGTATACATCTGTGAGCTGTAGCTAGACTGATTCTGTGAGCTGTTAAGTAGACTGGTAAAATCTGTGAGCTGTTACCTAGACTGTATATCTGTGAGCGTTAAGCTAGACTGTTCTATCTTGAGCTGTTAAGCTAAACTGTCTATCTGTGATCTGTTAAGCTACTGTATTCTGTGAGCTTTTAAGCTGACTGTATATCTGTGAGCTGTTTAAGCTAGACTGTATATCTGGAGCTGTTAAGCTAGCTCTTTTACTCTTATCTCTTTAGGGCTGCTGTTCGTTCGTTCTTAGCTGTATATTCTGTGTGCTGTTAGCTGAGACTGTGTATTACTTGTGAGGCCGGTTGAGCTAACATGTCTGGGTAGAAGTCGGCGTTGTAGGTTCTCTGTAAGTCCTCTAGACTGTAATATCTGTGACCATTCTTTTATAATTGCTACCGGTATAGCTATTATAGTCTGTTGACTGTTAGCGAGACTGTATATCGGTGAGCTTCTGGCTAGATCTGTAGATCTTCTTGTGAGGCCTGTTTATGTCTAGAACTGTATATCTGTGAGCTGTTAGCTAGAGCGATTAGCGTGAGACTGGTTAGGCTAGCTGGTATAGGATGTGAGCTTTAAACTAGAACTGTATATCGCGGGTATGACTCGTGGGTAGCTAACTGTATATATGTGAGCTGTTAAGCTAGACTCGTGTATATCGTGGCTGTTAAGCTAGACCGTATAATCTGTGAAGCTGTTGCTCGACTGGAATCTGGGAGCGTGTGCGCTAGACTGTTATCGTGAGCTGTTAAGCTAGACTGTTCTCTGGAGCGTTAGCTAGACTGTATATCTGTGGCTGTTAGCTAGACTGTATATCTGGTGAGCTTTTAGCTAGACGGATATCTGTGAGCTGTTAACTAGACTGTATATATGTGACCTGTTCAGCTAGACTGTATAATCTGTGAGCTGTTAAGCTAGACGTATATCGTGAAGCGTTAAGCTAGACTGCATATCTGTGAGCTGGTTAAGCTAGACTGTTATCTGTGAGCTGGTTAAGCTAGACGTATATCTGTGCGCTGTTAGCTATACGTAGATCTGTGAGCCTGTTAAGCTAGACTGTATCATCTGTGCTGTTAAGGTCTAGACTGTATATCTGTGAGCTGTTAGCTAGACTGTATAGTCTTTGAGCTGTTTAAGCTAGACTGTATAATATGGAGCTGTTGCTGACTGGAAATATCTGTGAGCTGTTAAGCTAACTGTAAATATCTGTGAGCTGTTAGCTTAGACTGTATATCGGTGAGCTTTAAGCTAGCTGTAATATCTGTGAGCTTTAGCTTTATGAACTGTATATCTGTGAGCTGTTAACTAGACTGTTATATCTGTGAGCTGTTTAGCTAGACTGTAGATCTGGAGCTGTTAAGCTAGGACGTGGTATATCTTGTGAGCTGTTCGCTAGACTTGTATGCTGTGAGCTGTTAGCTAGACTGTATATCTGTGAGCGGGAGCGTAGACTGTATATCTGTGAGCTGTTAGCTATACCTGTAAGCTGTGAGCTGTTAGCTAGACTGTATATCTTGAGCTGTAGCTAGACGTATATCTGTGAGCTGTTATGCTAACTGTAAATTCTGTGAGCTTAGCTAGACTGTATATCTTTGAGCTCTGCTAGACTGTATCTCTGTGAGCTGTTAGCTAGACTTATATATCTGTTAGCTGTTGCTAGACTGTATTCTGTGACTCTGGCTAGAACTGTATACTGTGCGCTGCTGCTAGAACTGTATATCTGTGAGCTTTTAGTCTAGACTGTATATCTGTGACTGTTAAGCTAGACTGTATATCTGTTGAGCTGCTGGCTATACTGTATATCTGTGAGCTGCTGGCTACCTGGCTATTATCTGTGAGCTGGGTTGCTGGCCTGTATATCTGTGAAGCTGCTGGCTAGACTGTATTCGTGTGAGCTGTTTAGCTAGACTTATATCGTGAGCTGCTGTCTAGACGGTAATATCTGGATCTGCTGGCTAAACTGTATATCTGTGAGCTGTTTAGCTAGACTGTATATCGGTGAGCTGTCCTGCTAGACTGTATTCTGTGAGCTGTTTAGCTAGACTGTATATCTGTGAGCTGTTAACGATAACTGTATTCTGTGAGCTGCTGGCTAGACTGTAATATCTGTAGCTGCTTGCTAGACTGTATATCTGTGGAGCTGTTAGCTAACTGTATATCTGTGAGCCTGCTGGTAGACTGTATATCTGTGAGCTGTTAGCTAGACTGTATATTCTGTGACTGCTGGCTTAGACTGTATATATGGAGCTGCTGGGTCGACTGTATATCTGTAAGCTGTTAGCTTAGACTGTATCTCTTGAGCCCTGCTGGCTATACGTATAGCTGTGGCTGCTGGCTCGACTGTAATATATCTGTGAGCTGTTAATCCCTAGCTGTATCTCTGTGAGCCTGTTAACTAGCTGTATACTGTGAGCTGCGGCTAGACTGTAATACTGTGAGCCTGTTTAGCTAGACTGTATTCTGTGAGCTGTGTCTAGACTGTAATACTTGAGCTGCTGGCTATAAGACTGTATATCTGTGAGCTGTTAGCTAGACTGTAATATCTGTGAGCTGCTGCTAGACTGTATATCTGGAGCTGTTAGCTAGACTGTATATCTGTGAGCTCTGGCTAACTGTATATCTTTGAGCTGCTGGCTAGACTGTATATCTGTGGCTGTTAGCTATACTTATAATCTGGAGCTGCTGGCTAGACTTTATATCGTGATTCTGCTGGCTAGCTGTAATATCTGTGACTTTTTTAAGGCGGCGGGCTAGACTGTTATATCTGTGAGCTGTTAAGATTCTAGGAACCGTGTATATCTGTGGTGTGGAGTCACTGCGAAGGGTTGGTCTGGTGGGCGTAACCGTGCTACTAGCAGTCCTGTCCAGCTTGGCGGTCGAGTGTGAGGGACAGACGGCTAGACTGTCATAATCTGTTAGCTCGCTAGAGACGTATGTGGCCATGACCAGAGTGGGACATTCACTTTCACTATATTTTTGGTGACAACCATCATAGATTTGAAAATGCAATCTAGTCGCGGACGTGGAATTTAAACCGTAAAAGTAATTTTTATGTGCACTTCACGTCATCACACAGCCTTTTACCTGCAACAAGTCAATGTGATGAAAACATCTCTGGTGGGAAAATGCGCATATTGTTTTTTTATGCAGATGTTAGAATGTTCGCATGAAAATCTGTTTCCAATTGATGGTAACCCAAGCTACTGATGTTAATGGGAGAAAAACGTTTTAGCCACACAGATCTTAACACCGAATCAGCCCGTATATGTGGTTGTCCCACCTAGCTATTTTAAGATGAATGCACTAACTGTAAGTCGCTCTGGATAAGAGCATATGCTAAATGACTAAAATGTATATGAGCCAAAAGCGCTTCCTATACAATATGAGCCAGAAGATAGCCTGGTCCCAGATCTGTGTGTGCTGTATTCCAAACTCCTCTGTTCCTATGGCTTCTGGTTCAAAATGATCTGGGATCAGGCTAGCCATGCACTCACTGTTCCAGGTTCAGTCACCTTGATTAAGCATTCAATGGGGGGGGGGGGGAGATCCCCAGACAGATGGACGAGGGTGGATGCTACCTTGATTAAGCGTTCAGTGGGGTAAGATCCCAGACAGATGGACCAGGAGGGAGGATCTACTTGATGAGCGTTCAGGGGGGAAGATCCCCGCAGATGGACGAGGATCCAACCTCGATAAAACTGCTGGCGGTTCCCAGTCTCCTGCATCTGCTTACAGATTCTGACAGTAAGATCTCATCCTCTACATGGAGAACCACAGAGGGAAGGAAGACGAGGAAAGATGGTGACAATCGAGGCAGAATAGAGTGGGATACTAAGAGAGTCAGAAGCGAGGAGAAGAGAGAGGGAGGAAAGAGAGGAGAAGAGAGAGGCGTGCGTCAATCGCGGCCGAATCCGCGCATTTCTTTATTCCACTCTCTTCGCCATCTATCTGGCTTCCCGCTCTTCCCTCGCTCTTTCTTTCCTTGCCCGCGTCTTCTCCTCCTCTCTGTCTTTACTGCATCCTCCGCTCTCTTCTTGCCTCTCTCTCGACTCCTCTCCTCGCTCTTTACTGTCCCTGCGCTTCGCGTACTCTACTTTTCTTCCCTTTCTCTCTCTTCCTCTGTCGTTCCTCCTTCTCTCTCTTTTCGCTCCTCTCTTCGCGTCCGCTCCTTTCGTCCCTCTCTCTCTTTCTCTTCTCTCGTTTCTTCCCTCCTTTCTCCTCTCTCTTTCTTTTCCTCGCTTCTCCTCCTCTGTCTTTCTGCACTCTCTTCCCTCTCTTCCTCCGTCGCTTGCGACCTTCTGACTTCCTTCTCTCTATTCTTTTCGCTCTCTGCGCCTCGCCGCTCGCGTTCTTCCCTCACCCTTCTGCTCTTTCCCGTCTCGGTCTTTACCTCTTTCGGCCTCTCCTCTCTCGTATCTGTCCCTACTTCTGCTCGTCTCCTCTCCTGCCTTTTCTTGTCCTCTCCTTCTCCGCTCCTCTCTTTCTCGTCGCTTCTCTCTTCTGCGACTTCTCCGCCGTTCTCTCTTTCGTTCTTGCCCTCTTCTCCGCCTCTTCTTCCCTCGCTTCGCTGCTCTCGCCTTTTTCTTTCCGCGCTTCTCTCTCTCTTCCTTCCCTCTCTGCCCCTCCTCCGTGTTGTTCTTTCCTCTCCTTCCTCCTCTACTCTTCCAATTTCTTCCCCTCTCTTCCCTCATCTCTTCTGGCTTCCCCGCTTCTTGCTACCTCGCGCTGTCGTCTCCCGCGCTTCTCCGCGCTCCGTCGGTCTTCCCTCGCGGTCCCTCTCGCCTTCGGGCTGTTTCCGCTATCTTCTCCTCTCTCTGTCTTTCCCCTCGCGCGCCTCGTCTCGGGCGGGCCACGCGTCCCCGCGCTCTTTCGGGCGCCCTCTCGGCGCCGCGCGGTCGTCCCTCTCTTCTCCTCGAGGTCGTCCCTCGCTATCTCGTCTCTCTCTCTCTTGCCTCGTCGTTCTCCGCCTCGTGCGTATCACTCTCGCGTCTCCCTCTCTTTGCCCTCTCTTCCCCGCTCTCTCTGTCCTTTCCGCCCTCTCCCTCTCTTCGCTATTTCTTCCTACTCTCTATTACTCCTCTTCTTCTTTCTTTCCCTCTGCTTCTCTTTCGTCGCTCTCTCTCGTTCCGCTTCTTCTCTCGCGGTCTGTCCCGCTCTTCTGTCTCTTCCTCTTCCGTTCCTTCCCTCTCGTCTCCGGCGCGCGGTCCCTTTCCCCTCGCGCGCGGCGCGCGCGGGCGTGGCGGCCCCCGACCGCGCGGCGCCGCTCGTCCTGTCTGGCCGCGCGGCGCCTCTCTCGTTTGCGTGCCTGCCCGCGCGTGCGCCGCGCTCGCGTGGTTCCCCAATACGCGTCTCTTCTTCTATGCGTAGCGGGCCGTCTCTTCTCGCGCTCGTTCTTCCCCTCGCTGCCTCCTCTCTCTCTTCGTCGGCTCCTCGTCTTGTTCGCGTCTCTCTTCGCTCTTTCTTGCCGCGCGCTCTCCCTCCTCGGTTCTTCCGCTCTTCGCCTCATCCTGAGCGTCCCTCTCTCGCCTTGCTTCTCTCTCCTTCGTCTACGCCTCTGCTTTCTCTCGTCGCCATCTCTCTCCTTGCGTTTCCTAGAAGTAAATATAGAGGGAGAAAGAGAGGCGATTGGAAGAAGACAGAAGGAAAAGAGTAGCCAGATCCACAGCTGAGCCACACACCTGAGGTCTCTTCTGACGATGGCGTAACCCACGATGATGTGTAGTTTTTCCAGAGCAGTCATTGGCCGGTCGAGGGTGGGTCCCTCTCCTATCAGTATCTCGTCCTCCTCACTGATGGTCTGCACAGTGGGCGGCTTGGACACCTCTTCCCCGTCCTCTGACTGGGGGACACAACACCATAAAGAATACTCTATTGTTGCAGGCCGCCTCTCTGACCTTAAGGCTAGCTGGCTATCGCCCCATTTTAATGTTTGTCTAGATGTTGTGGACACTGTTGTGGCTTTACTGGGCCTCTGGATCTGTGGACCCTGGGCTCAGTCCTCAGTTTTAGTCTGAAATGGCACCCTATTCCCTATATAGTGCACTACTATAAAGTTTGATTTGATTTGATATAGGGAATAGGGTGCCATTTCAGACCCAGTCCTCACCTCCTCCTGGATGATAGAGGGTTTCCTCGTGCCCCTAGAGGGAGAGGCTGGGACCTCCTCAGGGATGGAAGACGTCTTTCTACCCCCACTCAGCAGGTTTGTGAACGTAGAACCCTTCCTGGCTCGGGGCGTCGCGTCTACGGCCGAGGAACCCTTCCTGGCTCGGGGCGTCGCGTCTACGGCCGAGGAACCCTTCCTGGCTCGGGGCGTCGCGTCTATGGCCGAGGAACCCTTCCGGCTCAGGATCACCTGAGGACCACAAGGGAAGTAAACGTTCAGATTTTATTGGGGTGGTTTCCCGGACACAGATTAAGCTTAGTCCTGGTGTAAAAAAGGCCATTCCTTTTCAGCAATCAGCGTGCCAGAAATGGACGTTTGGACTCTGGCCCCTCCAGGTCAGAGGTTATAGTTGTCAACAGATGAAGATGCAAGTTTATCAGTGTGTGAAGTGTGTGGTGGTGACCTAGAGAATAAAGCTCTGGATGTGGAAACATCTGCCTGGTTCCTGTAGTGGGTCAGACCAAAGTAGAGTTCCGTCACCAGTGGGTGAAATCAACAACAAAATCACCTCGTCAGTCTTGGCGGAGGCCTTGCGGTTCCGGGACACCAAGTCTGTAAAGGTGGAACCCTTTCTGCTTCGAGGAGCAGGTTCCTCTGGTACCGTGGAGACCTTACGGTTCTTCTGGTTCCTCAGAACCCTCTATAAAAGACATGTACATTAATTAATTAACCCTTCCACAGGAGAAATGGTCAAAGGAGAACATTCAATGAAACATAAATGTAAATGAAAATGACGGCTGAAATTCAGGTCAGAGGCGCTCCTCTCATTCTGCCGTCCATCATTCTGATGTTTTTCCTATCCTACTTGGGCTAATCCCAGTGTGTGCTGTGGTCTGGACCCACCTGGTCCAGGCCCACCATGTGGCTCAGCCTCCTGTCCTGTCTCAAGACCAGGTTCTGATCCAGGGAGCTGTTAGCCATGTTTGACCCCCTGACCCCCCTAGCCCCCTGGCCCTGCACCAGCTTGGGCTCCGGCAGGTCCCCCATGAACCTCAAGATGATCCACCACACTGTCATGGAGGCCTGCGGACAGAGAGAGACAACTTAATGATGGGTTGACTATGTTTTCTGTGAACAATTTTGTATTTAAAGGTTTTCATTAATGTCCATCAAAACAGAGGATCGCAGTCAAATAAGGTAGGAGTTAAAGTAAGTGAAACGTACAATATTTACTGTTATTAAAGAATGGTTATTTTAAGAAACATTGAAAGCTGGGTTTAGGAGAGCCTCCTAAAGTGCGAGGATCAGAAAGATTATTAGCAGGGGAAGTTAAGAACCGCAGAGTTCAGAAAACCTGTTGATTTCACAACAATGAAGTACTCCATGATGGCACCGGCAGTTTATTCAATGTACCGGTCACTTCGACTAGGCGAATTCTGTGCCAAGATGGGGTTCTATCGGGTGGTTTTGCTGAACTCTCTCACATTTTTATGGGATTTACCATAACATTTCCTTCGTCCTCGTGGTAGAGTAGTGGCTGTCTGAGCCTCTGGCGGATGTGTGTTGGCGTGGCGGCGCCCTGGAAGTACATGGAGGCAAACTTTGAGAAGGAGTACTCATCAAGGTCGTCATAGTCCTCCTCGGGGATGTCCTCTACCATGGGCAGGTCATCCAGATCCACCTCCTCTGGTCTGGTCCGCTCTCCCTGCTTCTCCAGGTCCTGAGGGAGAGAGACAGAGAAATGGTTGGGAATGGACGCTTAGATGGATCATGGCTATCGTGAAACCAGACTAAAACAGAATGCGGTTTAACAAGGCTTTGTGACTGTAGCATGGGAAACGTGGTTGAAAGCACCATCAAGGGGATGGACCACAGAGTAAAACAATCTAGAGGGTGCACTGGGGATAAAAGACTGTGACAGCATGCAACATTTGAAAGCAGTGCCTCTAGTTTTTCTAAATCTGTGGGTTGGACACATCACCCCTTCAGGGATGCTGCAACACTAGTATTTACCACAATTCATCTTACTACATCTATCACAGAGGTCTTTAACCTTGAATCCGACAGGAGCCTGCCCCTCCTGCCCTCCCACCATACTGGGCAGGAACCCGAAGATGTTGTCCACCATTTCCTGGTCTGTTATTGATTCTGATTGGGCGCTGGCCTCCTTCTCTCCCTTCTGCCGGAGCACCTCCTCTAAACGTCTCTGCCTCTCCAGGGCTGCCAACTCCTCCTCACGACGCTCCTTAGCTGACAGGTACATCTGGAGATGAGACAGGAGTTCAGGAGCACAGTCAATAACTGATTAATGAGTCAGTAAGTCAGATTTTAATTATTGGTTGATTGATTGAATCAATCAATCAAGTTCCTCCTCACGACGCTCCTTAGCTGACAGGTACATCTGGGATAAACAGGAGTTCAGGAGCACAGTCAATAACTGATTAATGAGTCAGTAAGTCAGATTTTAATTATTGGTTGATT